TTCCATAAGATGTGAGACAAATTCGGATTTTTCAGGACTGAAATTTTTTCAGGAAAAAAAGTGTATTCGTAGTAAGTTGGTAGTCCTGATCACGAATCTGAAGGAATGTTGAGCCTATTTTGCGCCCTAATATGTTTTACCGTAAAAATGGGGTGTTCCATCGCGAGTGGCGGACAGTGTATATCACTTTGGACAATCCCATTCAGATGGTAGGTGCATTTTGAGCATTTCCATCAGTCCTGAGAGTTTCATCGTTCTACCTCGAATATTACGGATGATACGGGGGTGTTTCCATGAGAAGTGAGACACTGTATATAGGTAAATTTTAAATATTGACAATATTCGAGAGAAAAAAAATTTGTTAGAAGCAAGTTACAAAAATCAAATATTTAGTTCAAGTGAAGCTTGAAGTATTTGTAATTCAGGTTTAATTATTCTCAATAGGAAGTTTCGAAACAAAAATTAATTAATCAGAAAGGTATTAAACCCCCTTTTTGGACTATGCAGCATGAAGAAAAGTTTATTTTCTGTCCACCATTTTTATCTTCTCTTCAATAATAATTGAAGGTGATGGTTGACATGAAGATTTCAGCTCTACTTTTTCAGCTGTGGAAGGTTCGCTGCCATTTTCAAAAATCCTATTTTTTCAACATTATGTGAACATATTTTCAGGCTATCTTTGAAGTAGTTTACGATTGAATTGTGTGAAAAAGTTGAACTTTTATTAAAAATCAGTATTGACACGCTTGAAGAAGCTATTGTATAGCGAAACACGCGTTTTTGTAAAACAGTTTAGTGAAAATCTCACAATAAACTGTTTTTTGAATACGTTATGGATTTTAATCCAGTATTTGAAAACTTCAGAAGCAATGTCCTACTTTCCTGGGATTTTTAAAATTTATAGTATCGATTATTTCATCTTCATTGGTTTTTTCAATATAAGAAGAGTAAAAATTAGTTTTGGGGGATTTTTTACTAAAACTTTTTTTTACAATACTTATATTTTATGACNATTTTTTTCATTAATTATCAATTTATTGTTGAATAATTATTTGAGAAATTGTTATATAATTTTAATTCATCAATATAATTGTTTTATTTTGTTTTTTGAATAGTTATTGTAGAAATGTTGAAATAAATTCAGAGTATAATCGGATAATGATCTGTAATATTAGATTCATCTAGTAGAAATTGGTAAATTTTAACAAAATATCGAGGATCGATAGTTCATTTACCCCTGTCACTCAGTAGTATCACCTACCAAAAGTTTTGTAACAAATATTAGTCATTAGTAACAAGTTATGATATAAAAAGTGTCTGAAAAAGTACACCACCTATGAATTTTATTATCTGCATAAACGTACAGAATGAGTTTTCATAGAGAGCACCTCTTGTTCAAACCTCAATTTCCATAATCCACGTGCAAGTTGCTGCTAAGAATCCCAGCGAAACATTACGTAATAAACAAAGTTGGCAAAGTGGATTAAAAGTGCCGACTCGTAGGTCCCACGTTCCAGATTGTTTCCACAGGAATCGGGAATTAGCAATTCAAGAATCTTAGTTGCTTTTGATATAATATTTAAAGCCCGATTCGAATTCGTAGGTCATTTGGCAAGAAGTTCGCAATCTGGAGATGAGAGTTTATGAATTTGCATTTTGTCTAGGAGCACTCTTGATCCTCTGTGTTCTGAGAAGTTTTTCGGATACTGTAGTTTGGATCTTAAATTTAATTCTTCGAACCCTCAGTGTGGGCTTTGCTCAATGCAGAATATGTCACAGGGTGGCTACTTCAGAACTACAGAAATTTATGTACCTACCTACCTACTTCCTCTTTACTATTTTTCTACCACATACTGCTTCCACGGCCTGTTTCATATTTATTTTATATTTGAGTTTGTGTAACATATGACAATTAAAAAGTAATGATATCTTTTCTTGATTTTCTAGAGTAATTTCTAGAACACCTCCCTTATTTATTGTACTAAAGTCATTTTTGTGCGAAAAATCAGGGCAAAAACGATTAGCAATACAGGAGAAAATTTTGATAAGGAAGTGTTTGAAAGTGTTGAGAAGGCTTATTCAAATTTTTCGTAGATTCAACGTACATTCAAATGATAATAATAATTATATATTTACTCACATCAAATTTCAACAATTTCCAATTCATCATCCATGTAAATGAATATTATGAACCCATGAAAGGTGAAAACTTCGTGCATGGATGGGTGGTTATATAGTAAGTAAGTAAATTTTACTCAGGTAAGCATAATCTACAATATGAATTCAAAATTAAAACTGGATAACTTGAGAAACTAGAAGAAAAAAAAAAGGAAAGAACTAACTAAAACTGGAAATTGTGAGTCTAGGCTGAGCAACCTAAGCAATGCTTGTGTTGTAGTCATCCACCTGGATTACATTGATTATTTAGATATTGAGTGGTGAGTAGAAAGAAGGAAAAAAACCAAGTTAAATTTATTGTGAGGGAGAGACAATATGGTTATTTATTGTATTTTCTATTTCTTATTATTATTCGAGTTCGTATACGGTTTTCAGTTTGTTATAATTTTGGTTCACATAT